TCGACGAAGTTGAATGGGTTTGGAGAGGGCGGAGATACCACCACGAGCTCGGCGGAGTTCCTGGCACCGTGGGCTCTGCTTGAAGGCGAATTGGAAGGAAAGACAGGTTTATTCTGGTCGAAAACGGGAGAGTTCCCTTGGTAAATGTTAATGATGTACGATGACACCCTGGCAATTATACGCATGAATGATCAGCCGAAGCATTCTAAAACGGACTTCACCGAACGGTGACGTTGGCCCACTGATGCTGCTTCTCCATTTGTGATATCGTCTCGAGATATGCGGTTCGATGTCGATACACCTTACGCTGCTCTCGTTCCTCACAAGCACACCCTTTCAAGATTCCAGACGGGGCGAGTACTCAAGTACTCGAGCGAAGAAGCTCAATGTCCTTATACCTTCGAAATACATTTCAGCACGTACCATGATGCGATCGAAGATTGGGTGACCACCTACAAAGATTACAGAAATACAGATGGGTATCAAGATGGGTTATAACACAAGGCTAAGTCATCTGATAAGCCTCCTGGACGTTATCCGTCCAGTCTGACGATGCCTCCGACACGCTGGTCGTCCCTTCACTTGTCTTGAAGATCGTATCAGGCAGCGGAACAGCGAATTCATCGGCGCCCATTCTCCCCAGAAATGTGGTCGTTTGTCCCGGTGTAGTCGCGGCGTGGAAGGAACTAACATTCCTGCCTGATCGTGCGGCGCCCGAGCCGAAAGTGATAGATGCTCCAGTGCTTGCTTTTGAGTGAACCGGGACACTAGCGGCCTGGCGAAGGTTCAGCATGAGTCTGAAGCGGTGATTTTGTCAGTCGTGAAGCACTTGTGGTTGAATAGGAAACGGTACAGACCGAGCGACAAGGGTGGCCGTTATCCTATAGTTTGATTCTCGTATCAGCTTCAGCAGAGACGAGAGTAATTCAGCACTTACATTGAGGCGAATGGGGCATTGATAGCGCTGAGATCGGGCTAGTGGGCGGTGTGAATAAAGTGTCTCCGTCACCACACGTAAGATTTTACCGGAGCGAGCTACGGGGATATCGGTTTAGTATGTGGATAAAGGCATGATAGTATCCGATTCGGACTCACACTAAGCAAAAATACATTCGCTAAATTGACCGCAAAGATAACGCTGAGGCAATGAAAATGGGCGTCGCTGAGTCCAGATCCTCACAGATTAGGGAAAGAACGCATACTCACGCGAAATAAAGTGTTCCGTCCCGAATGACCAGTGTTATAAGAGGAATCAATGAGCCACTGAGGCGGTAGTATATGGCCCGACCTAGTGTCAGCGCGAAGATAGTGGCGTCGAACACGAGGGCCGCAATATAGATGCTGGACAACCCTTCAGTTGATAATTAGACACATGTTCTCAGAACCTTCAACAGGGTCGAACACATACTAATTCCGGTCCCGGGCTTTGGGCTGGGCACACATCCTACGAAACCTGGCGGCAATAGTGCGGGAGCTCCAGCTGGTATAGCCCACTGCGGATGGAATACATGAGTTTGGATGAGTGAGCGCTCCGAGACAATTCAACGCTTACTCCCATGACAGCAAGTTGCCCGAGGTATATTGGGACCGTCAACCACAATACCCAGGATGCTGTAATAGCGTCGTCAGCTTCCATGAGGTTCAGAGAGATCGAAAAACAGCTGGAGCTCACCCTGAGAGTAGATGGCGTGTACCCTGAGGACTGAAATTCTCTGAGTGAATCCCCCCGAGACGAGGCAAATCTCAGCTTACTCATTATTACTGTGGGCAGATCATGCGATTAGCTGAGTCTCGGAGTTACTTCTGTGAAGCATCCTACCTCCAGTAGCGAGGCTGACGATGGGTCCGACAGCCACTGGTATCCAAATCCAGTCCTCGCATAGCGATCCCACCCATCTCGGGGAGTGTAACGCAGGGATGTTGATAATAGAAATGACTGGGGTGAAATACCGGAATACTAGGAAGAGGTAGAATGGGAAGCTCTTTTTTCTCCTCCACATATAGGTTAGTTCCTCCTGTCGATGTCCGAGTATTCAGGGTAGCAGTTCAGGGGAACCACGAGAATGACATACGTCAAAGGTCAAAATGTGGTCGTAGACGAGCATTGTAGTGGACGCCAAGACATAGTACTTGTTGGCATTCCTGCACATCCGCAAATCCCAGCAACCCGCGCCAGTAACACGACGAATGAAGAGAATGAGAAACAGACGATAGAAGAGCATTGGAGTGGGGTACTTACAGATGAGCGAGGCCTGTAGCCAATTGCTGGAGAACATCAGGTGGGAAACCACCAGCAGACGAGTCTGCCATCTCATGTAGGTTGTGGTCAAGGGTCAAGGGTGGTTGTGAGCTTTTACGTTGCCTGGAGCCGCCGCCACCATGACAAGTCAACGCGGAGATTGTCGCGCATGAGATGATCCCACGCACCCCATCGCGCACAGTTACCCGCGTACAATTGAATTAAAATTAAACTTCCCGCCACATTTGATGCCAACAGCTCTCTAGTTCTTGTGCCTCCGTCCGCCTGATTGCATTTACCAGCAGGAATTCTATCGAAGAAGAGTCCCTCCAATGATGGGCATCGTAAGCAAGACCCGCTTCTTATCAATGTTGCCCGTCTCACCAGAGTCTTCCCACTAAATTGGAGAAAGGATGAGGAAGATCGTTGAACAACCTCGGCTATAACGGAACCTTGAGGCTTGAAAGCCTGTTCCGAATATATCGAGGAACGAGATCAGAAAATCTTCCTGTCAAGCACACGGCACACTCAATGCATCTCGGGGCGGGATGGAATTTGCCCGTCCCTGTCCCTCTACAAAACACTTGCCTTCGAGCTCTCCGAAGGCAAGGGCTGCTTGGTCATATCTAGATGTGGTGATTCCCTGAATGTCTAAAGTTGAAGAGTCAGGTGCGCTCTCAGATGACCATCCATGATATAGTTCCTCACCGTGGACTTTGCCGAGCTCATTTCGGCAGAAACCAAACGCTGGCAGTTAGTTCGCGACCCAGTGCCTCGATCATAAACAAACCTAAGCTTCTCAACCCGTTTAGTAAGACCTACAGTAAGGACTTACTCATCGTTATACGACACGGCAAGAGAGTATTACTCAGATGAGCGGGTTCCCAGTTGAGCATCAGTGATCGTTCCAACTTCTCAGTCTTCGCGGCCTCACACGCACGCCAGTCTTAAGATCATTCGATCTGCTCTTACCTCCTTACCACCATCATGACAGCTGAACTCAGTAACCTTGACTTCGCTGGCACGATCATCACCCCCACTTCCCCAGAATACGATGCTGCAAACCAACGATACCCTCAAAACGCAATTCTCAAACCATCTTACATTCTCCAGCCCCGAGACGCACAGGATATTTCAAATGCTATTCGATGGGCTCGATCTCAGAATCCTCCACTCGAAATCGCCGTAAAGGGAGGAGGAGCCAGTCACTATCCCTCTGCCTCCACTGAAGGCGGTTTGGTGATAGATCTGTCACTGATGAAGAAAGTCGTCGTATCAGACGACAAACAATCTGTTTCAGTTGAAGGAGGTGCTGTGTGGGGCGATGTCTATGCTGAGACGGACAAATTTGGCGTCGTACCTGTTGGAGGAAACGTGCATTTCGTTGGCGTTGGAGGGTTTACACTTGCGGGCGGGTACTCCCACTTGACGGGAACTCATGGATTAGCCATCGACAATATGGTCAAGGCTACAGTCATCTTGGCGAATGGGGACGTTGTGGAGACGAGTGCGGATAGTGAGCCCGACCTCTTTTGGGCCATTCGAGGTAGGGCAATACAGCTACTTCCCCATGTGAAGTTGGAGGGCTAACCTTGAAAGTTCAGGCGGTGTCAATCAGTTCGGTATCGTCGGAAAATTTGTTTTCAAAGCTTACCCATTACCTGGGCCAATTACCGTCGGCGCCATCGTTTATCCTGGGACTGAGCTTCAAAACGTTTTAGCTGCAACACAGGTAAGTTGAATCTTCGGGTTTACCTTGATAATTATCAATACACTTTAAACACATGCACAGAAACACCTCGAAAACCTCAGTCCGAGCCACCGAGTTATCATAATCTTCGCTCGCGCCCCGCCCGATTTTTACGTGAGTCTGTCTAGTATTCCCTTCTTGAATTCATAGATGTTGAGACAGAGGACTTGGTAGCCTGGCATTCTCATTGTCCCTTACATTGAAAACGACAAAGTATCTCCCGATACTGTGCTCTCTCCCTTCCGAGAGCTTGCAAAACCCATCTTTGAAGGTCTCGGAACCGTGGATAACTTTACTGCCGTATCTCACGCCGTAGATCAATCTCTCGCGGGACTACCACCTCGCCTGCATTTGGCCGGAGCCCTCATCACAGACCTATGGGACGACGTCGTATCGAACGTGTTCGGAGAATGGGTCAAGTTCACGGATCAGGAGGAGTTTAAGGCGACGACGGTGATGTGGGAGCTCGCCCATAGGGACAAGATCACGGATATAAAGGCGGAGGACATGGCGTTCCCGGAGAGAAGTCCGCATTACTATGTGGTGGCTTTGTCCAGGTACGAGGCAACAATTGCAGCTGTAATGGAAATAGAAATCTTAGAATGCTAACGATTGCACCAGAAATACCGACCCAAAACAAGACAACGTCGCCAAAGAATGGGCTTCGAAGATCGCGACGTCCGTTCGCCAAGCCCAAGTCGAGAAGACCGGGAAAGCTCTTGCGACCCCGGCCAGCTTCGCTTTGAGCCCAGAGGCTGTAAGCGTTGAGGAGATGTTTGGGGACAACTTACCACGGTTGAGGGAGCTGAAGAAGAAGTATGACCCGGAGAGAGTTTGGAGTCGGGGGTGGGTCATTTGAACGTGTTGGTCTTTTGAATGCAACTTGTACACTACATACTGCATATCAGGATATTCCGGATAGTCGTGTACAAATAGTACATATTCCTTCGTTAGGGAGTTTGAAAAGATTTCTAATTCTAGCATGCAAGTCGAAAAACTGATGACTTCGAATGACCACCGCAGGGGTCGAACCTGCAATCTCCTGATAACGCCATCGTAGTCAGACGCGATGCCATTTCGCCAGGCGGCCATATCTCTCGTGATGCCCTCAGGTGTCTTGGGGTTGCTGTGCTTCTGGATAGCGAGCACCAGCCATGATATACAATCATGAATTTCCTGAAATGCGGTGCGATATGTTACATACAAGGTTTCTCTACAGAATGTCAACAGCAAAAAAAGGTCACCCCTCATCACTTGCGTCCTTGTCCAACCCGGCTTCCTCACTTCTGAACCACCGGTTTAACCTTCGGCCTTCAAACACGAGCCCAAAATCCGTTAACCAGATAATCGCTTGTCATCCGTGACATCACCCCCATACGACCTACGTGGAGGGAGCTTCGGTTTGATTCGAGGAATCGGCGTCGTCAATGTCAGGTGCGGTCGACATGTCCAAGTCGGAGCAGCCTGCACGCCACCCGAACTTCCTTCTACCCACGGCCAAGTCGTCCTCCTGTTGTCCAAATCGAATATGTCGGGTTTCCTCTCGGGAGTACCTCCAGAAGTACTTTTGACGACGTTCGTCTCCGTGTTCTTAGCATCCGTCTCAGGCTGGACACGAGTCAATTTAAGCTTGGGCCTTTCAAGTTTCTTCATCGGCACTATTGTGGTCATTCTCGTTTTCGTCCTAGGGAGTGTCCTCGGGTAAGGCGAAGGCGTGTCCGGAGTTTTAGAACGTGTGTATTGACGATCGTTCGCCCGGTGAACGGTATTGATCGTATTCGCCAGCATCCGAGCGGAACTGGACTGAGAGATCTTCTTGGGTGTGGGGGATTTGCGACCACGAGCACCAGTCAGGAGTGTATCGATCGCTGCGTGTTGTTCAGTGGGATGATCGTCAATCAGAGAGAGAAGTTTTGGTAACATACCCGCTTGATTGATCTGATACCGGTGACCTCGGACGCGTCCGTTCGATTTCGGAGGTGTCGATAAAAGGTTCCTTTGATTTGCAGGTGTGCGTGGTTTGAATTTAGACTGGGGCTGAAGAGGCGCCGACTCGATTGACTTCCGGGTCGCTTGTTGTTTGTTTTTCGATATTCCTGTTCCAATTTTATTTTCACTGGAGCGGCGACGCGACTCCGTTGAGGGTGTCTGAACGCGAGAAGACGCGTTCTTAGAGGTGGGGGGGAAAAACACGAACGATGAAGGTGAAGGACGTGCCTTAGACGTTACTCCGTTGTTCAAAAGATTTGTTTGAGTCGTGGGAATGAGTGGTTCAGGCCGAGGCTGAGAGGATGCTGGTTCGATCGACTTTTGGGTTGTAGAGGGAGGGGTGTCGGTATGTCGCCTATTGCTCGATACTCTTCCAAACATATTCCCGCATGAACGTCTACGTGACTCCGTTGAGGGTGTCTGAGGGGCAAAACGCGTCGTTAGAGGTAAAAAAACGCGTCTAATGAAGAAGAGGGGCTTACCTTAGCCATTCTTGATTCTCTCCTCGCTCAAATGGTCCAAGATGCCCGTTCCGAACTGACAAGGTCGTGGCGTTGAGGAAAGACACGAAAATGAAGATGACCAAGCTTAAATAAACGTTGAACATGGGTCAGGCTCTTCCTTTTCCGCTGACAAAAAATAGAACTCGAACCTTCGATACACGTGCTTGTTGGAACATTCTGTGTAAGTACACAACCGTCTTTCACGAAATTCGAGGCCTGTGAGATTGAGACCTTGATGTTAGAAGTAGTCCTGAAAACATGGAAATAGATTTATAGTCAGTAAATCAATGCAACAGGTAGATACTGCAAGGCCCACCTCGTCAACAACCAACCCAACCCTCGCCAGCCTTCACCGTTTAGACGCAGATGCCACGATCTTGCTTATACCGGCGTCTTCCTGTGTCTTCTCCAGCACATCGGCCACCTCCCTCGATGTTATGGAACGGAAGAGGTCAGTCTTGAGACGGTTATCGACAAGGGCCGTGTTTTTGGTTACGGGGTACCAGGGGAGGTTCGCTTTCTGAATGTTCATATGAGCGCAGGCAAAAGATTTAGCCCGTCCTATGTCTCGCCTTCCTATCCGTCCATCAATTCACGGCCTGATATGTCGTCGAAGAACTTCCACATGTTGAAGCTTGAAGCCTTTGAAAGGATGATGCAAGTTGTACGGAGGATTGACGTCTATCGATGTTCCTATTTGGCTGGATGAGTGCAAGTATACCGGAACGGTCTACGTCTGTCGAAATAGCGTCGACAATTTAAGTCCTGAAGCTGAAGAGATTGAATGGTCGTGGTTGAACTTCATGTGGAGCATACATTACATCATTACATCAGCGTAAGACCACCGAGGACAATGGACTCGGAGTAACAGGCTCAGCTTATCGGCGGCACCTAACACGTTCGCGGATGATGGATATACAATGACATAGTTCTAGAATTGCACATGATTGAGAACACTACTTACATACATAATTCAACTACTACAAGAAAAGCTACCAAAGCTACCTAATTAGACTGCTGATCGTATCCTAAAATTCCAAGAGACGAGAACAAGAGTGGAAAGAAATGCATGATATGACGGCGATGACGATTGAAGTGATCGTATCGAGACGAAGATGAGATGAGGATGGGAGATGATGAAAAGACAATGCGCAGATTGGATATGACGATGATAGAGGTTGAAAAGAGTTGTGATGTGAGGTCGCTCGGACCTAGACGAACTAAGCATTCGTAGCTTTGCGGCTCTTGGGAGGCAATCCATCCTTCCTAGGACGACCACGACCGCGTTTCTCCACAACGACAGGAGCAGAAACGACAGGCTGAGGTAGAGGATGCTTCCGGGGCCGTCCTCGGCCTCGTTTCGCGGGAGGAGCAGTCGACGTCGAAGGTACTTCCACAGGTGGAGCTTCCTCCGAATCCTGTTCAGCAGCGGTCGCAGAGAATGAGGCTGTCTTCACAATCCGACGCTTCTTCGCGGGTGGTTGATCACTGGCAGTCGACGTCGACTGGGTAGCTGGAGCAGAAGTCGAGACCTCGGGCTCAGCCTTGGGCTTCCTTCCCCTCTTCTTCTTCTCTACCGGCTCTGCAGCAACCGACTGAACCGTATCATTCTCCTTCTCCGCAGTATCCTTCTCCTTCCCTCCCTTCTTAGAAAGAGCCCTCTTGGAATCCGTTATCGCAGGGAGCTTGATCATGATCTTGGGTTGGTGAGGTGGGTTGGCACTCCTCAACGCCAAATCAGGTTCAGTACCATAGTAGGTGGTATAATCCCTAGACCACGCCGGAGCAAACTTCTTGATGGGTTGGAGCCGAAGATCGCCAGACTTCATCATCAACGGGGCCTCCAGAGCGAAGTCAGGTCCGCCTTCGCCACCAGAGTCTGTGTACTCGACGTCGGTGTCATCCGCCTCTGCGGGAGATGTGGTCTTGGAGGGGACGACAGGATCACAGGAGAGTGGTCCGTCCATGTAGTCACGAGCGGCGGTGTAAGGTAGGGATGAGGGAGGGGTGGTATAGTCGGGTCGATCGTTCTCAGTAGTGTTCGTAGGAGGGGAGGAAGTGTCGTGTTTCGCGTTGGCGACCTTGGTTGTAGAAACAACAGTGCTATTGGCACGGGCGGAGGTGGGGGTAGAGGTTGGAGGAAGGGTAAGTGTTAGAGAGTCGGCCCCCTTGCCCTTGCCCTTCTCCTTTCGCTTTCCAATCGTTCTAGATTTGGCAGAGTCGGCGCCGAGAATGATGTTGGCGAGAGAGGGACGAGGTGAGAGAGCGGGACGCGTAGCAGAGTCCACGAAAGACTTGCGAATGGGTGAGAGTTGCGGCACTGAGAAAGGGTTGTGAGAAGATAGAGTGGAACCGCAAGTATGGTTGCGTACCGATGGAGGCATTTTCCTTAGTGACAGAATCTTTTTCTGTGAAACAGACATCGTCGAACGAAGCGCCAGCGCTTGTAACGGGTTCAGAGACTGTAGGTGCCTGGGAAAGGTTTCAAAACCGCGTCAATGATATGATCGACGATCGACATACCTGTACTGGATCGACTTCCACAACTTCATCGGCCCCAAACTCCTGACGTCGAGCTTCTGCAGCTACTGCAGCGAGAGTCCTCTGGAGAAGAAACTGGTCAGCTGACCAAGTGACTGAAAGAGTCGCGAAACGAAGTTGCTCACCAATTGCCAATTGTGGCCTTTAACTTTTTTAACTTCTTGAACGAAAGCTGATATGATGACGTCCTCGGGAACACGAAAAGGGGCCTTCATATTCTTCATACGACGGGCCATAGCGAAGTTGAACGAGAGAACAAAAAGATGAAAAGATTTTGATATGAGTCGATGTATAGGCAAGAACTAGAGGATAGTCAGAAAATGTTTCTGGCCCTCTTATAATGTGGCAGGAATGCCGTTAGGAAAACAATGGTATCGTGTATTGTTCATCGAACTGGGAGGATGGTTTAACGATGACTGGTTAAGTGTTCACGTCGAATTTGGAGGACAATGGATGTGATGAGGCATGTCGAGAAGTCCCCGGGGCCATCGGGAAGGGTTCAACAACACGTTTAGGAGCGTGGGACGGACAAAGGATAGTCAGATGGGGGGTCGCAGAAGGAATTGTTACACATCCAGAGGGTATAGTTCACCGTTCAATTCGACGACTGGGAATGTCTTTATCGTAGGCAGCGGAGTACTATGTGCCCAGAAGCGGAGGATAGGCATGAGCGTTATGGAATTGAGACAGGCAACCCATCACTCACAGAATAACCCAAGTAGGCATCAATAGCTTCTTCTCAACGCACAACGAGGCGCAACGTGTAATAGCGATCATATCGAGATCAAAGATTTCTTCGCATTCTGTCGAGACCCTGTTGACTACCCGCTGACCCTGAATTTGAAGACCACCATATCCACGGGAAGGTGACGAGTAAGAGAGTACCAGGGTCGTGTAGTAGCTGGGAGGATAAACGTGTGTCGACCTCCAAACAATAAGACGGAGTTCACGGAGGCTGTGAGGCACCACGAGGCGGGTTGCTTTGACTGTGATATCGAAGGCAGAATGCCAACCAGATTCGAGTGTTCGTCGGAATCGCTGCAACCGTCGGGGATTC